CGTATCCCACTTCCTGAAAATCGAGTTGCAGAAGGTGTGGTCTACATTATCAAAATAGCATTTGCATGCTTGCTTGCCAATCCCCAATCTAGGCCAACCATGCGACAATTAGCTTCGAAGCTCATAGCTCGATGGCCCCCGCTGCCAAAGTCATTCTCCGCAATAACGTTGGAAGATGTGATGCCTCGAACAACTGTGACGGGCTGAGAATTTTCCAAAAGATTTTCTATAATTAATATGTAATTGTTTCGACTTATGTTCCTTTCAATTTTCGTAGCTTTGTTTGTAATAAATTATTTCTCTGCTTCGTATTTTGTTTCTTCAACGATTAATATGTTTTTGTACAGTATTATTTCTCTGCCCCTTCTCGTAATATTATGATACTCCATGATATTGAAAATATGTATACCTATTATCTAAAATGACTGTAAATTCTGCATTAAAAAAAAATGAGGTTAATGAAATAATTTTTGTCAGTATTAATTCCAACATTTAAATTTTTTTTTAAAAGAGGAACAAACATAATTAATCATGTAGTTGTGTTAATAAGATTTTTATCGTTTTGATTAAAGAAAAGCAGTCAAAGTTTATGAACCTGTTAAAAATTCTCATGAAGGTAATTTTGAATTCATTCAGCTCCCACTAATCCTTAAAGTTTTTCATTTATTTTTTGTATTTATTTTTTTTACTGCAGTATTTCTTGTGAAGATGAGCAACTTCAAGATTATTTAATAAGTTGGTCTTCAAAGAGAAATATAGGCAATTAATGACATAAAACTATTTTATTTTCTCCACCAAAAATAAAATAAAATACACTGAATGATTATTCTACATGAATTTAACCCTTTTTTTTATTATGATTATTATTATTTTTTAATTAATATAAATTTCCGGACCAACTTGCCCCTCGTAACTCTACGAAATTAATTTCAACATTTAAATTTAAAAAAAAATCAGGAACAAGCATAATTGACCATGTAGTTGTGTTAATAGGATTTTTATCGTTTTGATTAAAGAAAAACAGTCAAAGTTTATGAACCTTTTTAAAAATTCTCATGAAGGTAATTTTGAATTCATTCAACTCCCACTAATTCTTGAAGTTTTTCATTTATTTTTTGTATTTATTTTTTTACTGAAGTATTTCTTGTGAAGATGAACAACTTCGAGATTATTTAATAAGTTGATCTTCAAAGAGAAATATAGGCAATTTGTGACATAAAAATAGAATACACTGAATGATTAGTCTACATGAATCTTAGATTTAACCCGTCCTTTATTATATTTATTATGAACGTCTATGGTGATGCTCCTCCAACAGGATCACTTGCTACTCGTAACTCTTCGAAGTTTGCTGTCCTGTCTCCTTCACGACACCAAAAACAATCCCCGCCGCCACCACCGATGCCCGAAACATCCGTCTCCTCCACCGCCCCCCAACCCCACCTCCTCTACCACCATGGAGCGAAGAAATACAAAGCATCTTGGACAATTCCTTAGAGAAATGCGAATAATTGGTGCAAAAGATTCTAATCCTATACAACAAGAGGAAAGTGCAAATACAAGCGCGTGCGCGCTCTGCTGTCTGGTGAAGAACAGAAAATTGGACCCTATCGAGATCATTCATAGATTTGGGCATGATTTGGTGGAGTTAAGTAAAAGAGTGTGGAATTTGAGTAAGAAAGCGAAATATGATCCGGGTGTCGGTGATTATTTGCTTACGCCGGCCAGGGATGTCCATAGAGTGAAGTATTTTGAGGATACTGAGTTTTTTTTATCAAGTGGGAAGGGAAATGGGATATCTTCTTTGATGAAGAGATTAAGGTTGCTAAGAGTGAAGTTTAGAAGGAAGCAGGGGATGGGTTTGAGTTAGTAAAGTAAGACATTGTGTTTGATTTGAGCTTTGAATGCTGACTTTGTTATGGGTGTTTAATGTTTTTGTGTCTTTGGTTTTTCATGTTGGATGATGAGTTTTTGCCCTTTCAATGTTGATGTGCGGTTATGTAAAGAAGAATCATTAAAAATGATATATCGACTTTGTGTTTTGAACAATTTTGTGGGTTTTGCTTGAAGTTTTTTACTCTTTTGATGTTGATTTCTTGTTATTGTGATTTGTGTCCATGGTTGGACACTGTTCTGTGCGTATTTGATGCTAGTGAAGGCTGCTGTTTTACACTCTTAGCTCGGCAGAAGATTTCATGCTCGACTAGGCAGGAATGCTAGAGAAAACACACATAATGGTGAATTGGTGACAGATTTTCAAGAGAAGAATCTGTTTCTTTGGCCAGCTTCATTGTTCTAGGAGAGAAACTGAGAGCAAAAGAAATAAAGCAATTGTCATCTCAAAACCTGCAGCAGCAAGAATATTTTCAAGTAATTTGAGTTTAGGCCATCTTTCTCATGAACGCATATTTCATCATTTACTATCCATCGCATTTTATGATGTTGCCCTTTCCCTTGCCATTGCCATTCAAAGTCTGTTGTCTCTCCATTTGGCAAAATGTTAATCAGCTATTTCCAGGATTCCAGACAATATTTGTCTGGTGGCTTGAAATTGCCGAGGGAGGCTCCAAGGATCTTAAAAATTGCCGAGGTTGATTTTTGTTGAAGTTAAGTAACCAATTTTTTCGTAACAAAACAGTGAGAAAAAAAACCCTCAATCAACCCACCATTGTAGACACGACATGTGTCTTATGATTCGGTAGGACAATCTGTATTTTACCAAGATTATAGATTTGAAAATTTTTAGTTAATAAATACTCATCATAATTTTACACAAGTTACACTACAATATCTCTCAAAATCTTAATTAAAAAAAGCTATAATTTATATATTTTTTTACATTTATTTTTTCAAACCATATACTACGGTAATATCAAACAAACACTAAATATCATAATCAATTAAAATTAATTTAACAATTATAAACACTAAGCATGTTCGAATCCGACCAAAGCCGATGACAGGACATCAAAGGGATATGGCATAAATACCTAGATAGCATCATAATTGAAACTAATCTTTACTTTGGCAGCGTTTAGAATTACATAAATCATAAACTTACACCTATTTATTACAGCCAATTGACACCATACACATAAAGCTTTGATGTGTGATGTGTGGTGGGATCATACAAGACTGAGCTCATCAATTAAATTTTGAGATTTTGTGCCATCTTGAGATTCGACAGCTGCAAGTGTCTTCCTCAAAGCTACTAACTCTTCCCCAGCACCGCATACATATGCTGAAGCTTTTCTTCCGGACAAGGTCGCTCCTTCCATGCTGTCTATGTAATCCTGTTCAATGCAGAAACATGCTTAATTTATTGTAGTTTTTTTTTTCACATTTTCACTCAAATAAAGCAAGTAGTGCTAATCTCTCTGGTTGCTTTTGTAGCTCCCTTTTAATTAACAGGTTGTTTTTATACTGAAAGCTGTGGAGGCAAGCACTAAAGCTACTTTTCTATCAAGCTAAAGGGTCTCGGGAAATTTGAGTTACCTGTCTTGTATATGAACCAGCTGTTAGGTTGGTTGCCATTTCATGTAAGGCACCAACCATTTACCATTGACTATTGGTAGCCATCATTGTTGAATGAGATAGAGTTGGTAGCCACCATTGTTGAATGAGCTAGAGTTGGTAGCCACCAATGTTGACAACAAACCAAGAAGAGCTTCCATGAATGCCTATAAATAGAGGCATATATGAGAGAGCAAAATGAGAGAGAGGAAG